ACCCCATGAACCATATCGCGCCAGGCCTTCCTGTCCTTCACTGCCTCCCTGAGTTTCCCACATATCCTGAAGTCAAAATAATCTATGAACGAATAGTTCCTTCAGAGATTCCACTTCATACATTTCTCCACTGAGAAAACTACCCATTCTGTTTTTTAACCAGTTAGTGGCCCATTAAAGAAAAAAGTCCTCTTAGACCATGGCTTTTAAGTTTAATCAATGACTTTTGGTAAGAACTTTGTCAGAGAATTTTTGAAAGTCCAAGGGTATAGTATCGAGAGAGTCACATCTATCCACATATTCACACATCTCCAGAAGGTTAGTGAGGCGGGATTTATTTTTGCAGAACTGATGCTGATTTTCTTTCAGCAAGGCTTGTCCCTCTATATGCTTAGCTATTTTTTCTTTAATGACCCTTTCCAATTTGGCCAGAAAAGATTTTAAGCTGACCAGTCTATCATTTCTCAAGTCCCCGCTTGGTCCCATTTTTTTAAAATGGCTTCCTTCCAGTTCTGTGGCATTGAGCCCAATTTGTGGGACATGTTACATATTTTTGCTAAGTGGTCAGCAATTTCTGATTTCAGTGATCTGGTGATAACATCCTTTCCATGTATGTAAACTTGCATTTTACTGCTAGGGATGATCATTCTATTTGCTTTTAAAAACGTACTCTTTTCCACAACAAAATTCTAATTACCACCAAATATTACCCTCGCTCGTTCCAAGGGAATTTGCCCTGCTTGTGCAATAACACTAAATCTAGAGTCAGTAGCTGTTTAGCTGCATTACTGAGGGCCTTTCCCAATGGGACTATGCACTTATCCTTGGGTTGGCAAAACATGATATTACCTCTATTTCAAGTCACTGCAGTCACTTGATTTTCCTCCAAGGTAACAGGAGGACAAAACAGCAAGTTTGACCCTCCCTGAGGCTGTCTTAGGACAGTGTCCAAAAAAGACAGAAAATTTATTTTTAATTACCTACACAGTTAAGTATGACTTAAGCTCCCTCCCTCCTGGGCTGGGGACAAGTTGGAACCACCGATATGGAGATGTGGTGGTAAAAGAGAGGTAGGTGGGAAAAGACCCTGGGTTACACCGAGGGGGCAAGCGGCCGATTATCTTGCAAGTTTTTTAAAAAACAAAACCACCGTATGATTTTTAAATTAAGGCTGTTGTTACTCAGAATTGTCTCTCTTTAATCCAAGAACAAGTCTTTGTGCTTCCCTGTTTCTGGGACAGAGACACGACAGAGCAACTAGAGTGATAAGCCTGACATCCGTAATTCAGTTGCACATCTAAAGGAATCTTTGATCCAGAAGAGACAAAGCAAAAGTAAATAACGCAAATCCAGAGGAGTTTAAAAAGGAAAATGTAACATTTTGGGATTATTTTCTTCATGTTTCATCTGGTATTTTTTAACTTTTTTTTCTCATTTGTTTTGCTAACTTCTACGTTGATTGTACATGCTGACACATATTTTTGTGTATGGAAAAGAGAAAGCAACCTTTGCTTTGTACCAGTGAAAAAAAACCATTCTGTATAATTCCCTTCATTTCTCTCTAGCATGTACTAAAACTGTTCCAGTTCAGCTGGCATTTCCTCTAGTTTTTTTTCCCATTTTAGCGACAGTGAAGTTGGTTGACAAAGATATCCACTGCAGTTTGGTTCATCTCTTTTGTCTTTGAACATATTTACATCCCCTCTTTTACATCACTGGCACCCTAAGGCAGTAAACCACAATCAAATACAATAATTAGAAACATAAAAGTCAGATAAACAGCATAACAACCAAAAGAGCGCCCGCTTGAAAGCAATCTCCCTTCCCCACTCAAGGGTATTTGTGCACAAAAGCTCTTTTTGCATGCACAGCTCTGAGAATTAATATACTTTCATCTGCGAAGGATCTTCCAAGCCTCAGGGCCACAACAAAACATTATCCTGTCCCAGGTAATCTCCAAAGGATGCCTGGTCTGCAAGGAATAGCTGCAAATAGGCATTATAGAGAGAAAGTAATCCATTATATATCCTGGAGCCAAGGCCAAGGGCTTTAAAACTTTACATCAGCACTTTAAAATGGACTCCAACTTGGCACCAATCAGAAATGACGTCACAAGTTCTCTGTCTATTCGGTTGATAGCCTGCTGGATTTATTCTTTTGTCTTATTTCTGAGAACTCTTCCAAGGCAGGCCCCCATACACCACATTACAGAAATCTAGTCTCAGTTAGAGAACACTGTTGGTCATGGAGAGAGTGCAAGTAATATTATGGTGAAGTGCTGAACCAAGGCTGGCAAAATGAGTTTCAAATCCACCCTCTGGAGATTCACAAAGGTGACTTTGGATCTGGTCAACTCTTTTAGACCAAACTAATCCACACATTTGCTGTGAGGATAAAATGAAAGTAGATCCCCTTGTAAACTACCATGAATTCTGGAGAAAAGGCAGAATATAAATCCAAAAGATAAATAAAATAACAAAATTATGACAGGAAGGAACCAAACTAAACTGATCCAATATTAACTTCTGCAGAAGCTATAGTTATAAGCTGTGGTAGAAGACAATGGTACTAGATCTGTCCCAGTGGGAATCTAGAATTTTAAAAATTTAGATTCCTAGGTATATATAGCAAAGAAAAAATGCGGGAAATTTAAATAATTTGCCAGGCTTTAGCCTCCCAAAGCAGCCCAACTGGAATGCTTGACACTTTCCACCTGCCAGAAGGTGCTACTCAAGGACAACAGGTTTGGGATGAAACTATGTAATGACCAGGTTGAACAGTGAATGCAGGAGAAAGTGCTACAAGGAGAGGGGCAAAATGACAGATGGTTCTAGTAGGCCCAGTGCCAGCTTCTATTCTTCTTAGATGGTAACCAAATCTCCAGCTTCAAGTCATGCCTCCATGGGAATGTTACAAGTAGTCTTTGTTTAGTGATCACAATTGGGACTGGCGACTTGGCATTAAGCGAAGTGGTCGCGAAGTAAAACAGCAACTGTGCTTATGATTTTCAGCTTTCCTTTGCTGTACAAACCTGCAAAGGTCGTAAATGCAAGGACTGGTCGCAAAGTTACTTTTTCATTGTTGGCGTAACTGCGGATGGTTGAGGACTACCTGTACTTGCTTTGGTCTCTGAATATAAGAGCTATCTTTTTAATTTCCCACAATGCCCCTGACACAGCTACCATGTGAGAAATGGAAATGGCCTCCTTCTCTACCAGATGGAATGTGAACATAGGAGATGTTCAAAGGACATACCAGAAGACAGTTTTTCAAGAGTCTCCTCAAATATAGAGACAAAGTTATTCTATGAAGCTGAACAGTAGACAAAAGAAAGTCAATTTTCATACAATGCATACTGAAGTTGCTTTCAGAGGATGAGGCAATGATCAAGTGGGATTCTTTTAAAAGGGTACTGTACAAATTCATGAAGACAAAGCCAACAATGGCAATTTGTAATATTGGCTATCTAATAACTGCAGAGCCAGAGGCAGTGTGCTTCTGTGTAACAGCAGGAGCATAATAGAAGAAGACTGGAATTGCCCTCATCTATTGCTTGTGTTCTTCCCATAGATATCTTGGTAGACACAGTGGGAAATAGGATGCTGGTATGAGAAAGAGCAGTGATCTGATCTTGGAAGGCTCTTTTTATGTTCTTTTTGAGCTAACACGGTTATCTTCTAGGTGTTTTTTCCCCCAAGGTTGAATGATATTCTTTTATCATTATTATTATTTTTAGTTGCTCTTTAATTTAGAGTTTGATTTTAGACTACAGTTCAATAACTTCTTTAGTATACGGTTAGATAATGTTTATTAGTACCGATTGCTTGAAACTATCTCAAAATACAGAGTTATTCTTTAAATTGGAAAGTTCTCAGTTCTCCTATGCCACCAAATTTTGTTCTTGACAACTACTGCCAAGAGAACTTTCGGTTGAACCCTTTCATATCCTGCTCCGCCTATGGTAACCCTAGCTACTTAAGTGCAACGCACAGCAACAAAATTAGCTCTTGGGCTTATTTTGATCCCATTATGTCAGATATATGTTACTCTCTGAATACATTATTATTTAATATTTCAATTATATTCCATCTTTTTAGCCATAGGCCTCTTGGGAGCTAAACATTAGAAAACAAAGAAACAAATACACAATTGCACAGGTAAATTAAATATGCAAGCTACGCTTCCTGAGAATCCTTCTCTTATACAACCGTAGGAGCCTTGGGCTCATCTTTGGTCACTGGTGTTTCAACAAGACAGTAATGAAGATACAATAATAATTCCTAGATCTCTCTGAAGCAATTTGTCTTCAGCTACCCTTCCAAAGCATTTAATACATTATTGTCAACAGTTATGGAGATGTGCAAAACCCAGTGTGATTCTTAAGCAGAAATTAAATTTGCCTACCTTGAATAAATTATAATTGGATGGTGACTGATTCATACATTTTAGAATCATAGGAAGGGACCATGTAAATAATCTAGTCCAACTTCCTACTGAGTGCAAGAATCCACTATTATAACCTGTTATTAGAAATTACCTGGGAATATTTCCACCTCTGGCATTTGATACTTGCTGGTTCAGGCAAATGAGGTATTGTGGCTTTCAGTTCATCTACAATCAACTGCTGGACCTTTTCCTTATCCCATTCCAAATATTCAGTTCCAAAAGACACAGTGGTATGGGCAACAACAGATGGACCAATGTCAGGTGATTCTGTAAGAGACAAAGCAGGAAGATGTCTACAAATGGCACCAGGTGACATTCCCTTTACTTACTGTTCTCTATGTCCAAAATGAGAAGACTTAATCAAGCATGTCTGTCCATCTAGGAAATGATGAAAAATGAGAAAAATTAACTGGTACCACTCATGAGATGTATTTATTTAGGCTTATAAACTGCTTCTACTATAGAGGATTCTAAGTTGTGTATACTCCAATACTGTAGGAAAAAGAAATCAAAATAATTAATGACAATATTGTAACATTTTTTGGGAAGTGCCTTCAAGTCAGTGTTGACTCCTAGAGACTGCTGGACAAGTCCCTGCAGTTTTCTTGGCAAGGTTTTCAAAGTGGTTTGCCATTGCCTGCTTCCTAGAGCTGAGAGTGAGTGACTGGCCCAAGGTCCCAACTGGCTTTGTGCCTAAGGCAGGACTAGAGCTTCCAGTTTCCCAGTTTTTAGCCTGGTACAACCATTACAGCAAACTAGCTCACCTGTAACATAATACAACAAATAATATAATAACCTCCACACTGAGGAATATCACTCTCCTTAATAAAACAATAGCACTTTAGTTGCATCTCCTATTCAGCCCAGAGTCAAGATATACAACTCGGTATCATCTACATAATGATACCCAGCCCTGTGCTGGTGGATGACCTTTCAAAGTAGCTTCCTTACATGTTAAATAGAAGGGTAAAAGAATAGAACCACGAGGTATACCACAATGGAGGATCTCAAACTTAACCTCCCCCACTTAAAAATTACCAACTAAGAATGGAAGAAGGAGAACTACTGTGCCCACCACTCCCAGTCCTCAATGGCAGCCCAGAAGGATATTATGATTGATGGTATGAAGGCAGCTGAGAGGTCATGGAAGACCGGGGGGCCACGTTCCCCCTATTCTGTTCCTGTCACAGGTCATTCACAGGATGATCTCGGCACTATACTCTGGCCTGAATCTGGCCTGACTGCAGGTCTGTTTAATCTCTTGTATTTTTTTTTTACAGAAAGTCTGCAAATGAAATTACAAGCTGTGGAACATTTCCCTGAGAGTCAATGGGTCTGTTGCAAAATAAATATAATTTATTTTCTTTCTTGAAAACATTTAATTGTTCACCTGGTCTCATCAGAATTTCAGAATACCCAGAAGTGGCCCAGGATAAATTGTCAACTTACCTAGAGCCAACAGAGAATGGTTGATGATTTGGTAAAGTATAAGTTTGGCAAGCACTACCTTTTTCACTCAAGCACAGTGTGGCATGATTAGCTGTACCTGCAAAAATCTCTTCTTTAATGCAGCTACAGAAAATACAGGAACTCTCTCTCCTGTGCATCTGGTTAACCTAGCTTTGTAAGAGCCCCAGGGCAGGAAAACAATTAAGCGGTATTACTTAGAACAGGAAGAGTAACCCCTCTCCCAAAAGTAGCTCCCAACCCTCTTTTTGTGTACCTCTGAGCCCTTTCTGATGGTGCAATAGTACAATTTCATACCATGACGAGGTGGAACATACAGTGGGGCAAAAAAGTATTTAGTCAGCCACCAATTGTGCAAGTTCTCCCACTTAAAAAGATGAGAGAGGCCTGTAATTTTCATCATAGGTATACCTCAACTATGAGAGACAAAATGGGGGAAAAAATCCAGAAAATCACATTGTCTGATTTTTAAAGAATTTATTTGCAAATCATGGTGGAAGTAGTTACAGGTCTGTGAGAGCCAGACATCTTGCTTGTTTGTAGGTGACCAAATACTTATTTTCCACCATGATTTGCAAATAAATTCTTTAAAAATCAGACAATGTGATTTTCTGGATGATGCAACTCAGCATTCTCTCTCCTCCAAACACAACAAGTTGAGTTTAGACCAAAACGTTCTACTTTGGTTTCATCTGACCATATGACATTCTCCCAATGAAGTAGTTACAGGTCTGTGAGAGCCAGACATCTTGCTTGTTTGTAGGTGACCAAATACTTATTTTCCACCATGATTTGCAAATAAATTCTTTAAAAATCAGACAATGTGATTTTCTGGATGATGCAACTCAGCATTCTCTCTCCTCCAAACACAACAAGTTGAGTTTAGACCAAAACGTTCTACTTTGGTTTCATCTGACCATATGACATTCTCCCAATGAAGTAGTTACAGGTCTGTGAGAGCCAGACATCTTGCTTGTTTGTAGGTGACCAAATACTTATTTTCCACCATGATTTGCAAATAAATTCTTTAAAAATCAGACAATGTGATTTTCTGGATGATGCAACTCAGCATTCTCTCTCCTCCAAACACAACAAGTTGAGTTTAGACCAAAACGTTCTACTTTGGTTTCATCTGACCATATGACATTCTCCCAATGAAGTAGTTACAGGTCTGTGAGAGCCAGACATCTTGCTTGTTTGTAGGTGACCAAATACTTATTTTCCACCATGATTTGCAAATAAATTCTTTAAAAATCAGACAATGTGATTTTCTGGATGATTGGGAGAATGTCATATGGTCAGATGAAACCAAAGTAGAACGTTTTGGTCTAAACTCAACTTGTTGTTCATCTTTTTAAGTGGGAGAACTTGCACAATTGGTGGCTGACTAAATACTTTTATGTCCCACTGTACCTAAATGCAGTGGAAGCATTAATAGTCCTGAGTAATAACAACACAGAAAACCTTCCAATCCAATCTAACCTGCACAAAAAATGAATACGAATGAATGAATGAATGAATGAATATATATATATATATATATATATATGAATAATTGTCACATCCTGACAATTTTATGATTTTATGTTATTGGTCCATCTACTCTGTCTTCCCTGCCCCACAAATGCTAAGTGTTGGAATACAGGCCCACATGCACTGACACATATGTCTGCATAAACACACATATACACTGCTTTTACACTACAGTAATATAGTGCTGTTCTTTAGTCCACCCAATAGTAATTAAACAAGCTGAAGTGGAGCGCTGTTGGGCTGAAACACAATTACATTTATCTTTAGTCTACCTAAGATAGGTACTGGAGACTTCTGAGTTGTGGTTACAGACCATGAGTTCCCACCCATGAACTAGGATAAGGAAGACATAGATTCGTATCTTTCTTCTAAACCTAAGGAAAAATATTTGCTGAAGTCCAGACACTCCTTCTTCTTTACATCTGCTGCTGGCTACATTGGAGCCTAGGCTTTTTTTCAAGTCACCTGAAGCACCTCTGGACTTAACTTTATGCGGCGTGCCTGGAATTTAGGTGCCAATAAAGATTCTTCTGTGTCTCCAAAGGGATGAGGGTTGAGTTGCCCAGGAGCATTGAACTGTGGTGAAGAAGGGACTGTTCTCAGTAAAATAAATAGAGGATGCTGTGCTCACTCAGCAAAAAGGAATTGCAATCAAAAAACTGTTTTTGTTGGGATGGCAGCAGAGAACTTTCTGTGACTTCGGCTGAAATCTAAACTGCTACAAATTTACCAGTGAGGTTATTGGAGCAAGATCGTTCTTAAAATTAAGGGTTATTCTTGGAATCTGACATTCAAAACACATTGAGAAAGATCAGATTTTGAATGCAACTTTTTTTTTTTTTTTTTAGAAAAACATCACAGCTGAACTTCGAGAACAGCAATGCGGTGCAACATGGAAAAGGGCCAAAAATAAAAGTGATATAACAGGATTACATCGTTTTGCGCTTCGTATACTTGGTACTGTTTCTACACTTAGTTTAATGTACATCTCATCAGATTGCAGGCATACAACTCATTCATCACAAGGAAATGTCAAACACGCTCGTCCTTCTTGTCTTATTTTGGACTCAAATTGTAAACAGGGCTCAAAGATTTGGTACAGTCCCAGTTTGGTTGTATATCTCCACAAGATATGATAGAAGTGAAGCAAACAAACTTACTATTCAAGGCCAGAGAGGGTTATTTCTCAGACATTAGGCCCGTATGATGCTTAAGAATCACTGCCTTCCCTAGAAGGATGACCCACCCATTCCAAATGGAAAACTAGCTAAAAGAAAAAGTCCATCCAAGTCAGATAAACAGATACAGCAATTGCATAGAAAAAAGAGCAAGAGAAACAGTAAAGAAGGACTTCCTCTTTGTTACAGACAAATTCGTGGTGTCAAGGGTCCACTGGTTATTTATTGCCAGCAAAGGGATTAAAAAAAAACACATAATGGCTGTTGCTTTACTTAAAATGCCTTGATCCTCATTTGCAAACTGTGATGACTTAGACAGCAATAGCTAATCAGGCCCCATGATATCAGCTGTTCTTTGTAAGAAAAATATATAGAAAAGAGCATTTATTTGTAGATGATGGATACAAAGCAACACATGTATGCAAAAATTGCATCCATAACTTAAGGAAAGTTGTGTTGAAAAATATTGCCCTAGAACATTCTGGACCTAATCCTGCCATGATTCATATTTTAGCTTGGCAACCTATTCAGTTTAGTAACCAGTGTCATGATAAAGCTGACAGAATAGAGAGGGTCAGTGTGTCATAACCACAGCATGACAGATCATGATAGTGGCAATATCGGTTTAAGGAGGTGGGGACAAGTACCACGAAAGAGCCCTTAACTGCTTGAAAGTGGCTTTTTGCATTCACATCAAAGTACTACACAGCCCTTACACTGAAATGACACAAAGAAGCCTATCAAGAAGGTTAGCTTTAAGACCTATAGCCAAACTGGCTGCTACAGTTCTTCCTACAGGAGGATAAAGGTATTTATGAAAGCTGTAAAAGAGGTTTTCCTACTGACTGGCTGCTCCCTTACCTCAATTCCTTCATCAGGTGTAGTGATAATGGTATTTCTTCAGGATCTCTGCATGATGAAGCCATGGTGGCTTCTATCGGCTGTTATCCACACAGCCAGATATCACATAGTTTTTGTCCGGAAGTTTTCTCCTATAGCAAAAAGGTGTCACTTTTTTTTTTATAATAATAACAAAAAAGAAGGAATGAAATAAAGTAGCTTGACTTTATAAATAAATAAAGTGGCTGC